AACTGGCAGTCACTTTTGGGAACGAAGTGAAAGTCAGGAAGACGAGTAGGTGGACCATCATGTGATACAGCGTTGGTCAATGGAAATGGAAAAGCTGCCAGATGCATAAATGGAAAGCTGATCAAAAATAATCAAAATATCAAACGAAGTGGCATTTTTCACTTCTAAAAATTTTAGTCGCCAAACTATTGGATGGTAAGAAAAAAAGCCAGGTTCTGCAGTGTCTTTTTTTGAAAAGCTCTTTAAGAAAGCCCCATCCTAAGAAAATTTTAGCAACCCCGATCTATGAGCAGCAGCAGACGTTTCTTGACTACTGTAGCCGGAGAAAAAAAATGACATGTTTCAGTTTGGTGTGGCAGCTTGTTATTAGCAGTACAATTGGCTACGGATGCATTGTTGAAATGTGTTAATTGGCGGCTTGAGCACATTAATAGTCTTCTTCCATCCCGCAGACCCAGTTCATCTTCTCACATTTCTGCAATGTGTTTGCTATTTTCGGATTATCCGGGAGCCCGACTCTCTTTTTTCCGGATTGCCAAACGAACTTACAGACGATATCCTGAGCTACAGCACTACAGCGACACTTTCTTGCGTTCCCTCATCTCCACTCCATCCTTTCCTTTCTCATTCCGCATCCGGAACATACAGTCATTGTCTTCTTTTTTAGGATTAAATAAATATCAAGACTATCAAGACCGTCAGGGCTATCAGTGTGGATTTCCCATATAAGTGATGTCAATGAGTGCTCTCAACACACCGGGCGGTAGAAAGTAAATAAACAGCACAATTTAATACAACAAATGAACATTTATTATACAAATGCTTGTTCGCCTCCATCCCTCAGACGGAGTGACAGAACACTCAGCGCGATCTCGAGGAAATACCGCAGTCTGCCTTTTTCCTGCTCAACCCGTACTTAAAACTTATCCAGATGATCAGTGCGGTAAATCTTTTGTACGCTTCGGAACGGATGAAATACACAGATGAGACTGTGAAAAACAAAAATAAAGTACCATAGATGGAAAATGCGCACTCGAGATAATCCATACGAATATATGATGCAGCTGTTGTCCTGGCATTTACAGACCAGACGGTCAATTATCGCAGGCCAGAAGCTGCTCCTTTGCTGGTCAAAGTGACCATGCGCAAAAAGGACATGCTGCTGTTGCTTTATTTATTACCGCCCAGGCAAGTGTTGGCAATGAGACAGTTCACGCAAAAGCAAAAGCCGTTGATGGATTTGACACAAGCTTGCGCTGGCATTGGAACTGGCACGGATGCTGTTGGTGCTGCTGGCACTGGTACCGAGAGCCTCAGCAGGGATTTCGGTGTTTCAGGGACGAGTTTAAACGGTAGAACTGGTGGCCTGAGCAGTTCCAGGGATGCTAAAGCATTCGGCGCCGGTGGCGGTGGCCTCAGCTGACTCACCGGAACCATGGCTCCTCGGGGC